GCCGATAACACCAAGGTCCAAGGTTCAATCCCTTTACTGGCCAGCTGCCAAAAAAAAAAAGAGGAAGAAAATCAACTATTATTTTCATAAAACTTTTACTTTCATAGGAGTAAGTTGAGCTATGAGAACTTCATCCCATTTCTTGCTGGTCATGCTATTCCAATGGCATGAGAGGCTTCCTTAAACAGTGGTTACAGTTTCCAGTGCCGTAAGATTCGTCGTAAAGATCCAAATTAGATCCAAATGACTGACTTCACAGAACTTTGGAAACAATCTACAAACATCAAGTTTTACTAAAAATTGGATAAAAATATGATTTTTATTGCTTATTAGCTATGGGCTTGGGGTAAGTTGTTTAAAGTTATAAACCTGTCCTGTTGAATACAGTAGCCACTGGTCACACATGGCTATTTAAATTTTAATTTCAATCAACTGAAATCAAATGCAATCACGAATTCAGTTCCTCAGTTGCATGAGCCACATTTCAAGTACTAATAGCTACCGCATCGGACAACACTGCTCTAGACCTAGAATACTAAATCTCTTAACTTTTCTGAAGCTCAGCTCTGTTTTGTGATGGGTCTAAGATTTGTTAGTTATCACAGTATTGTCGTGGGTTGCAGATTGTATAGTACTATACTCATGTAAGTTGTGTTCTTTAAATTATTGCAGTTGGTAAAATCATATGGTCTTTGCAATACTGAGACTTTGGCCCTGCAGTCTTATAGTCATGCTAGCTCTTTTCAGAAGTTCAATTATGTATCTTGAAATTGACATTTATCCTTTGTTCTTTAAGACTGGTTCCATGCTCTGCACCATTGACAATTTCTCTTAATGTGGAAGGTACCACTATACATACATATAAAATATGAAATGTACCATCTTACCGTAAGAACCATATCTGTTAGAAATTAATAGGAAGCATGTGCAATCACAAACCAGCTGATAAGAGCCATGATCTTTTGCCCCATAGGAAGGGGTTACTGTGGATTGCAGAGAAGGTGAATGAGTAACAGTACTTCCTTGTACCTCATGGGGTCAGGGTAACTGTGCCCATTAACTAGCAGCTAGTTAACTAGCCCTGATGACTGACACACTTCTAACTCAGACCAGAGAGCGAATGGGACTTCTTGGTACAAACTGCTTTTCCTGTGCCCCAGCTGGTTTCTTTTAGGGAGCTACACATTGACGTGTCCACTGGAGGTTGTCACTTTGAATCGGCACAATGGAGAAGAGCCTGAAGAACGTCCTCGTGGTGTCCTTCGGATTTCTCCTCCTCTTCACTGCCTATGGGGGCCTGCAGAACCTGCAGGTGAGTGTGCACAGTGGTCATGTCGCCTTCTGAACTTCTCCTGGCCTCTGAGAGTCCCCATGGTCACTAACAGCAATGAAGTGGGATTTCCTTTTCTCCAGTTCACCCTAGTGTTTCTCCCTCAGCCCCCCAAATCCTCTAAAACTGACGGTGGTTTTTATGTGCAGTCCTCAGTGTGCAGTTTCCACTCGGTTCCTGCAGGTTGTGCAGCAGTGTCAGGTGTTGCTCTGAACAGGGAGTGCGAGCGTCTGGAGACAGTGGTTTGAAGACTTCCTTTGCCCTTGGGTGCTTACAAGGAGACACGAGAAAAATCACCATGAATCTTATGGTTCTGTGCCCTTGGCTTGTGGTCAGGGGCAGTAATGTGAATTTGTCAAATTTCACTAGACCTTACAGGTTCTAAGCCTGCTTTAAGCAAAGCTGTGAACNGTTCCATGCTCTGCACCATTGACAATTTCTCTTAATGTGGAAGGTACCACTATACATACATATAAAATATGAAATGTACCATCTTACCGTAAGAACCATATCTGTTAGAAATTAATAGGAAGCATGTGCAATCACAAACCAGCTGATAAGAGCCATGATCTTTTGCCCCATAGAAAGGGGTTACTGTGGATTGCAGAGAAGGTGAATGAGTAACAGTACTTCCTTGTACCTCATGGGGTCAGGGTAACTGTGCCCATTAACTAGCAGCTAGTTAACTAGCCCTGATGACTGACACACTTCTAACTCAGACCAGAGAGCGAATGGGACTTCTTGGTACAAACTGCTTTTCCTGTGCCCCAGCTGGTTTCTTTTAGGGAGCTACACATTGACGTGTCCACTGGAGGTTGTCACTTTGAATAGGCACAATGGAGAAGAGCCTGAAGAACGTCCTCGTGGTGTCCTTCGGATTTCTCCTCCTCTTCACTGCCTATGGGGGCCTGCAGAACCTGCAGGTGAGTGTGCACAGTGGTCATGTCGCCTTCTGAACTTCTCCTGGCCTCTGAGAGTCCCCATGGTCACTAACAGCAATGAAGTGGGATTTCCTTTTCTCCAGTTCACCCTAGTGTTTCTCCCTCAGCCCCCCAAATCCTCTAAAACTGACGGTGGTTTTTATGTGCAGTCCTCAGTGTGCAGTTTCCACTCGGTTCCTGCAGGTTGTGCAGCAGTGTCAGGTGTTGCTCTGAACAGGGAGTGCGAGCGTCTGGAGACAGTGGTTTGAAGACTTCCTTTGCCCTTGGGTGCTTACAAGGAGACACGAGAAAAATCACCATGAATCTTATGGTTCTGTGCCCTTGGCTTGTGGTCAGGGGCAGTAATGTAACAGGGAGTGCGAGCGTCTGGAGACAGTGGTTTGAAGACTTCCTTTGCCCTTGGGTGCTTAAAAGGAGACACGAGAAAAATCACCATGAATCTTATGGTTCTGTGCCCTTGGCTTGTGGTCAGGGGCAGTAATGCGAATTTGTCAAATTTCACTAGACCTTACAGGTTCTAAGCCTGCTTTAAGCAAAGCTGTGAACTTTGATAAGATAGTCCCAGTGTATTTTGAACTCCTGATGGCATGCTCTCCCCTCTTTGGGTCTGTGAGCCCTTATAGAAACCTAACAGCATTCTCTAAAAGGCTGTGGCATTGGTCATGTCTTCCTAGAGGTAGATTTGACAAATTTTCCCGAGGTAGTTGCATTTCAAGTCTGGTCTTTAACTAGGGATAAAACCTCCAGGGGATTCCAGGGGTGGACAGGAAGCTGAGCGACCTGCCTTCACTCAGTGCTGCACCCTGTGGCCTGGGACTGTCACATATGAAACCTTTTAATAGCATCTGAAGACAGTCTTGTATGGTTTGTCAATTAGGAGCAAGAATCAGGCGTCTGCTGTGTGCATAGTATTGAGCCAGCAAAGGACACCCCGGGGCTCAGAATCAGAGGTTTCTGTCCTCACTGTTACTACACAAACACTTTGGACTTGTAGCTTGTCCAAGAAGCTCAAATTCAGCCTTGAATTCTCAAGTGCATGTTGTCTTCAGTGAGCTCCTCCTGAGTCCTGTTTCTGATGAGGCTCGCAGAGAACAAAATGGCAGCCAGTGGTGACTGTCAAAGTCAGGCTGGAATTGGCACAGACTCCTTTCCTGACATGATGGCTCATGATTCTTGGGGTCTGTGCCTCCCCCAGAGCTTTGTGATGTCATCCCAAAATGTTAGTGTGTATGAATTGAGCTCATGTTGAAGTGTGTGCCTTCTGGTGGGAGAACACAGTGAGGGTGTGGACACTTGTGACACTTTCCCTTTGGGGAGCATGCCTACAGAGGGACGTTCCACTGTCAGCGGCAGGCAGCGGCTCCCCTGGGCTTGTGGCCTGGTGAAGAAGGGGTCAGAATTCTTAGGAAGCAGTCGCCATGGAGCTGGCAGCTGCTTGACCGACTGACTGCAGATTGGCCTCTGGACTTGGGAACGGAGGAGGGAGCAGGGAGAACTGCAGAGGTCCCCCTCAGGCTGTGACGCAGGATGCTAGGCTGCAGACAAATGTGGGTGACAGCCTTTCGCCTCTGTGGCTCCCAGCTGTGGGGAGCCTCCGTCCAGGAATCAGAGGCATCCAGAACACGCTCCACGGCCCTGGGCAGCTCTACCAGGAGGAGACACACCACACACCCCTCCGAGGCTTCCCCCTTCCTTGTGGGCTCCTGGGGGAGAGACCCACCATTGCTGGTGTCATCCCGTCTTCCTGGAAAGACTGGAAATGTAAGAGCCAGACCTCCAACTCTGGCAGGATCGAGAGGCGTGGATCCATTCCACCCACCTACCTGCTCCACCCTGGGTCCCAGCCCTGACCCGGCCACATCGTCTTGTCCACTGACCTGGAGCACATAAACATGTTTGAACCGGGATAGCCGTCTCCATTAGGACTGGCTTAAAGGAGAAAGATGTATGGATGGGAGGGGCTTCAGGAACGACTGGATCCAGCCCCGGTGGAGGAACCCACCTCTGCCCGTCCTCCGACTGCTTTCATTGGTTGGCTTCATTCTCAGCCCCTAAGGAAGCCACACTCACCCCCTGGCTTCCCTGCTGAGCTCAGTAGCCCCACCAGTAAGACAGGGCCCGTGAGTCCCTGCCCTGGTCTGGATTAGAACGTGCACCTGCCCCCGGACCCAAGGACACTAATGCATGGTGCTTCCCACTGTCCTCTCAACCTTTTTGACCACTGTCTTCCTATTTGTCATTCAGATCTCAATGTAGAGGTCACTCCACGCCTGCGTAAGGCACTGTGTGTACTCGGGTGTTCACACAGCCCACATCAGCACATGTGCCTGTCCACTGTTCCATCAGTCTGCAGGGTCCAGTGTGCAGGACCACGTCCACTAACGTGTCACCACATCCCCGTGCCTTGGACAGCATCCCACACGGAAGGTGCTCCATGCATACAGGTGAATGTGCATCTGCCCACAACCCTTTGGGGGCTCACCTTGCACTGAAAGACTCCACCCAGGTCCTCAGATGCACGTGGGCTCCTCCTGGTCTAGCCCCGGTGAGCTCTCCAGCCTCATCTCACAGTGGTCTTGACAGCTGGGCAGAAGCACCCACACATCCTGTGCCGTCTCTCATCCCAGCATGGGGCCCAGGCACACGTGTCCCCACAGCACCCCTCTGCCCCCACCCACACTCCCGCTGTTTCTTTGTCAGGCTGTCATCCTCGGCTCTCAGTGGCCTCCACTCCTCTGATGTCCTCTGACTCCGGGGTGGCCCTTGTGTCCCTCCTGGGAGCTCACGGAACCTGTCTCCACTCCTGTGGGCCTCCCAGCCTGACTGCGTGGCCCGCTGGTGGGTCTTGCTGACATGCTGGAAGCTCCTCGATGTCCAGCAGCTCCGCGAGGGCAGTAGCTGTTTTCACTTCTTGTGCCACTAGGCCTCCAGTGGTCAGTGCACGGTGGCCTTTTTGTTGAATGGCTGAAGGAATGTCATAATTGTTTATGCAAGTAGGCCTTACACGCTCAACAGATACATGTGCTTATTATCACACATGTGTTTTGCATGTTGGCTCTCCTAACACCTGCAAGTACAGGTGTCTGAACCTGGTCACTCATAAAGAAAAAGACATTTGCTTTTAAATGTGGTTCCTACATTGAGTGTTGAAGTCTGTCTTCCTTTTCAGTGGTCTGCAGTCAAACTCCATCATAAATGACAAACACACCTTGCGAATTTGCAGCAGCAGCACAGTGGGTGGTCAAGAAATCCCAGTGCAGAGAAAGGCGGCAAGCTTTTCATTAGCATAGGCAGCGGCAGCCAGCTCATTAATGCACCGGCATTTAATTCGAAATATCTTTTAAAAAGCTCAGGTTGAAGTAGTTATCTCACTCCATACCCCCAGCAACTCTAGTTATAACGGAAATTACCAGATGACCCCCACTTCAGAGGATAATGTTCAATTTCCATCCTCCAACAACTATCATTAAGTACCTGCTTTGGGCAGGGCAGAGGGGATTTTTTTTTTTTTTTTTTTTTTTTTTTTTTCCGT